CCAAGAGGGGTTTCAAATAGACATCATACCATTCAGCTAGTGCGGAATAATAATTAATCCAAAGGTTCTTTATTTTTATTTTGCCCTGAATTTTCTTTTCAATTCAGTTAAGTATAAAGCTACTTCTGCTCGTGTCATTAGTATTGTAGAATGATTTCTTTGCCTCCCAAATAACTTTAAATAATCACGTTACATTGGGATTCCTGCGGTGATAGAGATGAGATGTCTGAGTCTTCAGACTATTGCATCCTTACACCTTGTAAATGTTTTTGCACTCCCAGAAGTGAGTCAGACAGTGATGGCAGCGAGGACTGGGGAGGTATTGATTTGGAAGAAGTTGTTTTCTCACAAACACAACAGACATACACCCAAACATAAACCGATAGACATGAGCATCTATTAACAACCTCACACGTGTTTTTCTATCCCAGCAGAACAAAAACCGGAGCTTAGTCGCATGGCTAATTTGCATGTACAACATCACATCATTTGCATCAATTTGCATTAGCATGTTCTCACACTGGAGGCTACGGCCAGGAACGCCATCACTCAATTAGCGAATGACAGCGGGGATCTCCTCATCACAAACAGCTCAACAGGGAAACAGGGAAGACTCTGTGAGGCTGACATGGCAAGATGTGACATTTCCGGCCTGGCTGAACTAAATGTCTCGGTTTGACAGACATGTCCTAATGAGGATGGTTCATTTCAGGTCGTGGTAACTTGAGAAAGGCAATGTGATATATCTGGCTAAAAAATTCATTTTTTAAAAATGTATACAGTAACACTAAATGATAATATACTTGTATCTAATTGAATGAATGGTTCACATATAGACATTTTATTACAGTTTTAAATCCAAAACCATTACATCAGAGATAAAACCAGAGTTTAAGGTCCAAGCTTGATGCACAACAACTTCAGACCCACAATCTTGACACTACTGATTTGTTTAAAATTGCAAACCCAAAGAGAAAATTGCCCTTCTACACTGCTGAAAAGATTCCCTTAAGTGAAATACACTTTGTATGGCTTGCATTCCATTTGCACCTGTGCAGGTCAATGGCATCAAACACTTCAATCCTGCTCTTTGAGTGTTCCAGTCTCATGACCATCTGCAGGTGTGGCTTTACTGCTGCTGAGGGGCAATGGTCAACTACCCGACCCCCAATCAATGTTGCAAAACAAGGAAATTATAGCACAGCACTATTAAATTCTCAATACAACAATCACAAGTTGACCATTTAAATATGGACTCATTTTATTTATGCTGCAGCAGCTTCAGCCACTCTGGATATTTTATACTACAATAAAAATGCGTTTAGAGAACAGTAATGGAAACAGACAACAAACAAAAGTGAAACTCAACAACACATTGTTGTACAAAGTCAACGGAAATAACATTAGTCACAACCTCTACACATTGTTCTGTCACTGTTGTATTTAAAAATTCAACAGGCCCAAAAGCAATAAACAGGATATGTGAGTCTGTCAGTACGGGAAGCCTGTTTCTACAAAACTCACTTTTCACACGTTTGTTTTACTTTTGAATAATGAAGACAGGCAAAGAAGAATCATTGAAAACTTTACTTATTCAGTTGGCCACATGCTGTAAATGGATTACATTTACGATATTGGGGTTTAATTCTATCAATTTCTAGCTGTAAACTACTGGAAAGAAAAAAAAGAAGTACAACCATTTCCTGAAAAATACATGGAAACTGAAATGATCTCAGGCAACGCTTTGGTGTTGTGTTATTTATAGAACAAAAAATAATTTCAATCTGACTCATATGAATAAATACTTAAACTAACACTGAAACATTTATAAACTGATGTAAAAGAGCTAATGTTACATGCAGCAAATAAAGTTTGATACTTTACATCCATGTTGTATTAACATTATTTCAGCAGCAGTCACTAGCACACTCAAACATAAGGAAAATATGCCACAATGCTGGGAAAATGTGAAGCATCTGTCTTCAGCAATGAACCAGCATTCCAGAATACGCTATCAAGCCATTAGCTAAATAAACCATGAAATACAACAAATCCACTTGAACCGAAATGCCGTTGACATGTGTCAAAGAGCCGTGAGTTTGTGCAGCAGCTGTCTAAAATTACAATATGATCATGAAGAATTACAATTCGAAAAATTGTCCACGGCAGCAAGACTTAAACAGATTTCAGATCGAAAAACAGAATATGTTAAACCTCAACCCTTGGTGCAGGGCGATGGTCCATGCCTCTATTGTGTGCGTGCATGTAGACCAACTATATGGACACAATGAGCTGCACAAACACCTCTCCACACACAAAACATCAGGACCCTGGCTTCTCATTTAGCGATTTTAAAACAGCAAAGCTTACTCAGCACAATACGGCCTAGACCAACCCAGACCCTCCAATTCAATTCAAACGGAACTGCATGTGCTTGCATAAGCAGCAGCTGCCCGTCCCATGTCCCCCTGACCCACACACCCCTCCATCAGCCCAACACACACAGTGCTCTCATCTAGGACAAGTGTGAAATGGTGATATGGAGGTAGGGTTGGTAATCTGTTTCTGAAACACTATTTTATCTTGTTTGTTGAAATACTCTTCACCTCCCAATTGCAATCAATTAATAAACACAATCAATATCATTTAATTCAGCACAAATTAAAATGATTGGTCAGAGTACCTGTCTGTTACTACCCAGCCTGTCTGCCTGCCCACACTTTGAATTACTTAAGACGCAGAGACAATAGCCAGAGGTTAGCGAGTGAGTCACGAAAAAGTCGGCTTCTCGCAGTGGTCAGGTGGTGCGAGTTCACATGGGTGTAGCTTTAACGAGACGGACGATGGGAGGAGGTGGGATGTAACGGTTATTGTTTTCTTCAAATTGTAGCATGCTCTTGTTTGTTTTCCAGGATTACCAACCCTAGCTTTAAATTAAGTGTGTGTGTGTGTGTGTGTGTGTGTGTGTGTTAATGCTGCCACACTCACCTGTTAAGATGCTTCAGTTTCTTTGGTGGCAACAGCTTCCGATTCCAAATCTCTGAATACAAAACAGATAAGAAGGTTAATGTCAGATGGAAAAAGAAAACACACCTCCATTACAAATAAAAGATTCCCTGCATGTGGGTGTGATGCAAGTTTAGTGGTTTATTGTGATTAAACAACTTATCACGAGGACAAACAAAGACAGGAGAGAGGGTTGCACGGCCGGCTGCTGCACCTGAAGTGGTAAACACAAGCTTTCAATCTAGTTCAGAGATGTGCACCTCGCCCAGGTTATTTGCAACAGGGCAATCATTTGCACACAAACAGAGAGAGTCTGAACTAATTGCAGTTTGAGAAGTATTTCAACAAGGTGGTGTGGAAATGCAGGTTAAGCCGCATAACAGAGCGATGCAATGACCAAGGGACCTTAAAGCTCAGGTCCTGCAAGTGAATACAGAATGTGTGTGAGACAGATAAAGACAGAGAGAGAGTGTGTGTGTGTGTGTGTGTTTGCGGGTCAGAGTCACAGATCTGGTCCTGATCGGCCATTATCTCAGCTGTAGCCCGACTTACAGCTTAACCAACATGGCTTCTCTCGAGTCTGGTATTTTTCCAGCGCAGGCGAACACCAGCAGTGACCTTACCCGTGCATCTCGTTACGATCGCTGCGGTTAAACAAACACTGTGGTTCAGTCGCGATTGCGGCGTCGAGTGCAGAAAGTAATGGTGAATGCGACTGCAGAGCCATTACCGCGGAGGTCTGGGGCTCCCCAGCTGCTGCCTCTCCGCCGACAGAGGGTGTTAAACGCCGCCTATCGAGACTCAAACCCTGCAGGCTCCAACAATAAACTCGCACCGATGTCACCACAAACCTTTGACATGCGAACCTCTGCGTCGCTCCCCACCAAAAAAAAAAAAAAAAAAAAAAAAAAAAGGCAGCAGCGCAATCGACCGGAATCACCGCCGAGCAACCTGCGTCGTCAAATTAGCATTGCTGCTAGTGCTAGCGGGGAGCTAGCTTTTTTTGCGGAGCGGCTAGTTAGCTTAGCCCAATTTCCAAACGCAGCGTTGTATTTAAACAACACGGCGATGCATTGAGTCTACAAACACCCGCGGGTTGCTGATGCGTGGATACACAAAAGCTTTGACATCGTCAGAAATACACAATGTTCTAAACAGAGACGTGCGCACAGCTGGCTAGCCAAGGTTAACCCAACTAGTTAGCGTTAGCACAAGGTTAAGCTGCCTGCAAATACGAGTGTGACGTCTCGTCCCGCTCGGGTCCCTGCAGCAAAAAAACTAAAATGCATTTTTTTTTGTTGCTGCCAAACGCGTTTAACATTAACCATCACAAAGTGCAATGCAAACCGGGGCGCCTTTGCCAACTTGTGCTAGCTAGCCGCTAACTAGCATAGCCCAGTCACGGCTAACCAAACAACAGCGGCTGCTCAACTTATCTCCACCGGCCAGCAAACCCCCCCCCCCCCCACCTCTCCCCCCCGGTCTCCCTTGGCCCCCGGACACAGCTCGACGGAACAGACGGTGAAAACACAGAGGAACCGGGTCTCACCTCATCGAAGTGTAAAGTGCTAAAAGAAATTCAGCTCGTTTGCAGCATCTACGAGGGGAGGAACTCGTCCTGCATGATCGCCATTTTCTTCGCTCGCTGCTGCCTGAGACCGTCTCTCGCTCGAGCTCTGCTTTCCCCTCCTCTGCCTCACTTCAGTGTGTGTGTGTGTGTGTGTGTGTTTGTGTGTCTGTGTGTAAGGCAGGAAACACGTTCACCACTTCCTCTGACTGACAAAACCAAACACAACCAGAAAGACGAGAGAGAAGATGAATGTGAAACCAAACACAACTCATTTCAAATGTTCCACACAGAATTAAAAAATGTGTTGACTTTAACCATTTGTCATTTTATTCTCATTAGGAGCTGGTTCTGCGTTCTACATCTTTTTTTTTTTTAATCTGATTTACTTTACACTTAATTATTTTATTTATTTATTTATAGTCACATATATTTTCTTTAGATTGAACACTCTTGTTTAATTCGCCGTATTCTACTATATTATTTATTGTTGATACTGTTATCACGGAGCAAGCTGGCACAAGAAATTCTCTCAGGATTAATCGAGTCTTATCTTATCTCATCGATATATATCTCTGCCCAGATCAAATTAATAAATAAAACCTTTATTTTGATGGCCCAACAGAGATGTTAACACACTGCGGTGACAATCTTCATACATTAGCTGCATATCCTTAATTAAAGGGCTTTATCCTGTTTTATTCTTATTTCTTTTACAGTTCAGTTTCAGGAGAAGATTCTGGATTACGTCAAATTTTTGTTTATTTTCTTGTTTTATTTGACGCCCTGTCTCTGCCCCTCCTCTACTTAACCATTATTGGCTTATAACAACAAAAGCAGTGACGGACGCATGTAGGACTGTAAAGAAAGGTTGACCAACATATAGCAATCATAAACCACATTATGTGAAACTAACATCCACAGTTGGGAAGTTCATATTTAAACAAATTCAGAAGCATTATTTCTACTGATTGGAAGTAGTGGAGGCAGAGAGTTCACGGTCAAATCGACCCGTGAGTGTAAAGTTCCTTGAGCGGAGCACTGACTCTGACCTCCCTTATTTCCCAAGGTCGTGTCTTCATTGTCATCTGCCTGTTTGTTTTTTTGATAACGCAAAAGCTACTGAACTGGTTTTATTGAAACTTGGTGAAGGGTGCCCTGCAGGACAAGGAAAAACTTTTGCAGTGGATTTGATTTGCTTTCACTTCCTTTTATATTGCGAGATTAGCCGTTTTTTGCCGTTTTGTGAATCCCCCAAGAAATAATTCAAAGATCTTTGTGAAAAAAAATCAGATCTACTTAGAGGAGTCCATATCTATGAGCTTGTGCATTTAGGTGCATCATGATAAAATTTCAGGGGTCTGACGGGCCTTGGCGGAGGGATGCACTTAACCCTCCAAGTGCCAATCTAATCATTATGTTTAATAACATAAGCTTTGACTCAAACTTTTAAAAAAAGGTAACTGACCTGTGTGTGTGTCTATAAGCTCAATATCAAAGCACCACTGAGCATCATTGTTAAGACGAGCAGACCTAAGAGCCTCAGAGCTCCTAGTCATAAATCCCTCGGGTATATACAAGACAAAATGCAAACGCTCTGCCCGTCACTGTTGAGTTAACTTGTAAATGTATCCTGACGTGAAAGTGAAAACATCTATCACGCACTGCGACAGGCAGATGAAGAATGTGGAGAATTTCAGCATCTCTGCCCCGTTTTCTCGGGCCTGTCGCAGCCATCCATGCATGGCGTTGGTTTGTTATGTAAGAAAACAAAAAGTGAAGAGTTTAAAAAAGGAGAGATAGAGGTAAAAAAAAAATAAAAAATACAGCCTCCGCCTAAACAGCACAGAGACACAAATACAGTGTGGAATCTGCCAACGCTTCACCAATGAGACAAAGGCTATTGCTGCTTACAGGAGATACCGGCACAACGTGCGTGCAGAGCAATGACCATTGACCCGCCACTTGCAAATACAGGCGCCAACCTTGTGCACAAATTACCTCCCTTATCTGTGTGTATCTGACTGTGAGGGGGCGAGAAGAAGAGAGAGATCAGTAAAGTCCATTCACTGCCATATAATGATTTTATGTGACCAGGTATCAAGAAAGCAAGATTACATGATGCTGTATAAACAAGTGGGTAAGCTCTCTGCCCCCGGAGGACAGTTGCCAAAAAGCTTGGTTTCCCAATAGATTCCTACTGCTGTTGTTGTGTTCGTGGCAACAGGGAATTCAAATATAATTGGTCTCCGAATGGGAAAGTATCCAGTTGACTGTCGCTGCAGTTGTCTCCCTGCCTTCGCCCATTTGTTTGAAGTTCCTATTTCACAGCTGTTAAGACATAATTACAAAGCCAGACAGAGTGAGGATTTCAGGGGGACACAGAGGATGGTGGCTCTTAAGCTTGCAAAATGAAACCTTGGAAGAATTGTTATTATTCTTCTGCAACAAAATCAAGCAGACGTGAAAGAGACACAATGAGAAATACATGATATAAACTATCCTTGACTGAAGGCTTTTAGATTATGTGGAGGAAAACAGTGTCTCTTGTGCTGCTGTATGAGAAAATCAGAAGTCATGATCACATATATAGATTTACTCCAAACATGTGTTGTGTTTCAGATTCACTTCCAGCAAACACATCATATCATCTGCCAAAGCTGCAGTTTGTGCTGTGGGAAGAAACTATTGCACACTGACATGATGTAGTGACATGATGGCAGGTTTGGGGCACTTTGACACATGCATGCAAACAAATCCCAGAGCTCACAGGTTGTGTGACAGCACAGTATTTTTTGGTTATTGCAAATAGAGCTCAGCCGCATGGTTCCAGAAATACTATGAATAGAGCAAGCTACGAGATACTGAATCAATGTTATTTGCTCCTGTAGAAGCCACAAGAGCTTAGTGTATTCAGAGCAGGCCCAGGTTTAATCATACACACACAGTTATGTGTGTTGCAAATGGTAAATGGTCTGTGTACATATATAAATATATATATAGTGCTTTTCTAGTCTTGATGACTCAAAGCACTTTACAGTGCAGTATATTGCCATTCACCCATGCACACACACAGTCATACAGTGCATCTATGGGCAACTTGGGGTTCAGTATCTTGCCCATCAAACCGCCGACCTTCTGGTTAGAGGACGACCACTCTACCCCCTAAGCCACAGCCTCCCAATACACACACACACACACGTGCACACGTGCACACCTACATTAATGCATGTGCACACGTTTAAATTCTTTGTAAAATATCTTGTTTTCTTTTGAAGGGAGGTAATGTTTGATGTGTCCATTATTTTTCTTGTTTCGTCAGTTTAAGTATTTATATATGTTTATATATAAATATATATATATATATATGTTTGCTGTATTGTGTATGTATTTCATATACACACACGTGCATGAAAGGGCGGGCATACACAAGCACACACACACACACATACGCGCGCACCGATCAGTTGCAGCTGCAGAAGTTTGGAAGCGTGTAAAAACGTGAAGACTATTGTACTGGGGAGAAAAGGGGGCATAGAAAATTGGGCTGAAATGTGAATGTACAGGAGGAAAAGGGAGAGTGAGCAGGGAACAGAAAGTTAGTGAGGAGAGATTATGTGGAGGGGGTGAGAGTGTGGGAGACAGACTGACAGACAGAAGAAGGTCAGAAAAGAGATTTGCATGTCAAGTAGTAATAGGCTTGTCCTGAGTACAGACACGCACACAACTAAGCTGCAGTCATCCTGGTGCTGCAGTGAGTGTGTGTGTGTGTGTGTGTGTGTGTGTGTGTGTGTGTGTGTGTGTGTGTGCGTGCGTGCATGTGCGTGTGCAGTGTGTTGTTTCTCCTGTGTCTGCCAGACTAAACTAGTTGCCTCACATTCTCTGCTTGTGTCTCCAGTCTCACTCATGAGTTCTAAAGCCTGTGAAACAACAAAATTTATGTCAGCTTCCTGCTTCCCTCTGTCTTTGAGTCCAAATCATTCATCACTCGTTCAGACTGCCTCCCCCATCCAGTCCACACTTACCTCTACAACCCCTTCATTTTTCTCACTGTCCCTCTCCAACCTCATCATCTTCTCCCTGCCTCCACCCTCCTCCCTCACTTTCCATCAGCACAAACACACTGACTCATGTGCTATCCTCCTTCCCTGCATGTGATTCTCTCTTCTTCTCTCCAGAGCTGCAACAATTAGTTAATGAACTAATTAGCTGAAAGAAAAAAAAAAATGCAGCAATTTGTGTGTTATACTGTTTGCTTGGAGTGCATTTGCACAAATTTGTGAATCAGCCTGGTGGTACTCCCCAAAACAAAAATCCGAATCTCGAGGCGCAGAGAGCGGAAAAACACGAGACACAAACGCAAAAGCTAAAAAAAAAACATCTCTCTCATTAAAAATAATTATAGAAATCTTTTATTGCAGAAAATAAGCGGTGTAACCTAAGACCTTTGAGACAAAGCACATCATGAACACAGTGAGTGTGATTCTTTGCTGCACTTTATCTTCCTAGCCTTAGAAAAAATATTTCAACATAGTATCATGATAATGAGATTTTGCCACTTGCTAACATCACACTAACATCTATCTTCTGTCTGCAACGGGATGGAATGAGCGTTCACTCCCGGGTCAAACGACTCAGACTGCAGCATAGACATGAGTTTTTATGGAACATGATGCACTTGGGTAAAAAAAACAGAAAGGCAAACTACGAAATGGGAAATGAGTCAATCGCATTTGTCAGCAAGTTGACTTTCGTTTAAAAAACCCATGTATTCCTGCTAATTTTGGTCTAAAAGAGTTATTTCTCTCTTTATTATTATCACAACTGAGCTTGCATCTAATGTAATTTTTCAGCCACTTTGATAGTCTACAGGATCAACCAGGATCCTCAACATTCACAGTTCATAGCCCATCTCTCTCTCTCCCTTAGTTTCTTGTCCTAATACCCAAAGAAATCTTTTTTCTCATCTTATACCCAAACGTGATATTCTTACTCTTTGTTAAACTCTGTCTTCTACCTGCCCCCCCACTCTACCAGCAGTAGAATGAATTCATTGTGGCTGAAAACGCACGTGATCTTCAACATTCACCCCCCCCCTTCACCTCTTGAGGCATTCACACAGACATGAACAAGCTGAGTAATAACTTAATCCATCAGCTGTGTTGCTTGTGATTTCTTCACACAGATGACTTCCATTCACCCTTGCAGACTTTGTTTT